CTCTAGAAACATTACTCACCATCAGGTCTCTGCCTAAGGTGAAAGACCTAAAATCAGTGCTCATTTTCTAGGAAGATTTAGAGGAGCACCCAAGTCAAAGAGATCACTCTGTCTTGCCCCATCCTAGCACAACAGTCTACATGACATCATCTTTTTCAAAAATGTCAAGTCATTTGTACTGCCTGTTTTTCCAGCATAAATATTTACATGAAGAGCATTTGCAAACAGGCTTACAACTGTGGAAAGGCTGATGTGGGGGCAACATCTGCAGAAGAGCAAAAGATGAATAATCAGACTAGGGAGAAGCCAACTGATGATGACACTTTTGGAACATGTCTCCAAATACTTTTTGTCATGTTATCAGCAGAGTGGATGTGAACTTTGCACCAAACAACGTGATTTGAGGGAAGGGAACGTGCAGTCATAACTCATCACAGTAAAAAGCTACTAAAAAGATACTTTGATTTCTCTGGAATTTCCTTTAGTTGCAGAGCCTCTTGATTTCAACCCCTTCTTAACAGTTGTTTCTACAATGAACCTAAATAGTACAGCAAAGCTGTTTTTAGGGGGCAAATGAAGTAAAGCTGGCCAGTGTTATGCATGTGTGAATCGCTGTGGTTCAGCATGGCATGATAATGGCAGTGTTACTCGGGTACACGCAACATCTGATTAGAAGCAAAGATCCCTAGACAAGTGCTCCTCTGAAGATGAATAAAGGTGGAAACATTCAGAGGAGATGCTAAAGATATTCCAAGAATTCTGGAGCTAGCACTAACGACAAAGAAAAACAAGAAGATAACAATCAACAATCTCACCAGGAAAATTCTCATTCATGGCTGAACTTACACATACTTGTTTTCCCTTAAGTCCAGACATATCCGATTAATCTGCTCCCCTGAAATGCAACTTGGTCTTCTAGAGCAAAATTCTCTTCATGGAGGATTTGATCAAATACCTTTACATCACTGGATTCCTGTTTGAAATGTGTTATAAGGACTTTGAAACTGCACCATCTACAGGAGCATAAAAATTAATATTTCCTCTATTGTGGGAGCTGTGGGAGCTGTGGGAGCTGACAGCTGGTCTGAAGACTTTGCAGACTTCAACCTTGAGCCGATCATCATGTACCCTTGAATGGTTGCAGCAGCTAGAAGGAGGCACGTTTACCAGAAGAAAAGATGAACAAGAACCAAAATAAGAGAAAGCCTTTTTGTCTAACAAGATGATAAATGAAATGTGTGCTTATGTCATTTGTAGCCAATGACAGGTTGCTTGTCACATGTTATATCCAATGGACAAAAGACACGCTTTATGTAAAATGGTATAAAACCAGCTAATTTGTAATAAAGAAAAGCTTTTTGCCTTTTGCCATTATTTCTGTGCATGTATCTATGTCGCATGTACGTCTCAACCGCGACACTCTGTTGCTATGGCTGTTAAATGCTCATAATTCCTTTGCATTTTTAGAATTACTGAAGTACTCCTGATCTTTCATTTCCTCTGCTTTATATATTTTTATTAAGGATAACAGTAAGCCCCACTGCTCTAAACTAAAGGATGTAAATTTATATAGTGAATGGAGTAGAAAGGATACACATCCATAAGGTGCACAAGCTCCAGCTACACATGCCACACAGTTAACAAAAAATGTATGTGGGAAGCTGGTGATCATCTGTGTCTAGCACAGAAAGATGTTTCTGCATAGAGTGAAACCAGCAGAAAAGAACTACTAGTGACACCAAACCTTTCTTCTTTCAAGAATTTTCCAGGCTTACCTTATAAAACTAAAATGCCCCTCTAATTTTTACTCCCATCAGTTAGTTTGCTGCTTGATGGTGGTTGTGTTTGGGGATTTTTCTAACAAAGCTGAGATGCATACAGTCTACAGCTAATTGTATTTATGCCTCTTGTTATTTACAGACATGCCCCAAGGACCTCGAGGTCCCAGCAGCCTACACAACAATGAGAAACAGTCCCAGCTTTCAGACATTGTGGGTTAAGCTTTGCTCCCTCAAAAATTTCTGCAACAGCTTAGCTCTCAGCCCTGCAAACACCTCCAGAGAAGTCAGTTCATGAAGTTCAGTACAGAAAGACAAGCTGTGCTGGTGTATTCATTCACTTAACTATCACTTTCTTTCCCATTGCAAACTGACTTGTAACAAATACAGTATTTTAAAATAAATGCATAAATGCAAAGAAAGTAATAACTTTCTAGAATTTGCTGTATAATTCACATAAATGTCTTGCAGTCAAAGAATTGCTTGGCATCTCCCCACTATGAGAAGCCAAAGCTCTTTGCAGAACAGGACTATGCTGGACCTTTTTTCTGTACACCTCTGTATACTTCCCTTCTTCTTCCAAATACTCTGCTGGAGTCTGACAATTTTACATGCTAATGTGACATGACTTGATAACTGGGTTCTTTGAAAAGCATCTTTAATCTCACAGCACAATCTGGGATGTCTTCTCCCTGGGTAGTCCTAGTAGACAGGCTAGGACAGGAATTTCCAGCAGAAAGTGTCCAGCCAGGGAACAAAACATGGCTCATGGACAGTTTGCTGTCCATCAGGATGCCCAAGTCCTTCTCTGCAGAGCTGCTCCCCAACAGATAGGGTCCCAGCCTGTGCTGGTGCCTGGGGTTATTACTCCCCAGGTGCAGGACCTGCATTTGCCTTTGTTGAATTTCAAACAGGTTTTCTCTGCTCATACCTCCAACCTGTTAAGATCATTCTGAAGTGCTGCACAGCAGTCTGGGGTATCAGCCACTCCTCCCAGTTTTGTGTCATCAGCAAACTTCCGGAGGAGGCACTCTGTCCCTTCATTCAGGTCATTGATGTGTAAGTTAAACATTACCAAGCCCAGTATTGGGCCTTGAGGAACATCTGTGGTGACAGGCCTCCAGCTAGGCTCTGTGTTGCTGATCATAACCCTCTGGAAACTGCCTTCAGCCAGTCTCAAACCACCTCACTGTACATCCATGCCATACTTCCTGAGCTTTTCTATGAGGATATTTCATGGAAGACAGTGTAAAAAGCATTACTGGAATCCAAGTAGACAGCATTCAGTGCATGATCTCCTTTTGGCGACTATTCCTGATTACCTTTTTGTCTTCCATGTGCTTAGAGATGACCTTCAGGATAAGCTGTTCTACCACCTTTCCAGTGACTGAGGTGAGACGGACTGGTTGGTAGTTCCCTGAGTCCTCCTTCTCATGCTTTTTGAAGGCTGGGTGACATTTGTTTACTTCCAGTCCTCAGGCACCTCTCCTGATCACCACAACCATTCAAAGATTTGTTGTTGATATAAGGTCTAACACCACACCTTTTGTCACTGTCTCTTCTACCTCTTGTATCAGAAAGTTATCATCAACACTTTCCAAGAACCTCCTAGATTGTTTGTGCCTGAAAGAAGGCAAGGCAGAAAAAACCCTAACCTGGCATGGCAACAGGTAAGTACAGACACAAAGACAACTTGTGTTCAAAACCCATGCTCCCCATGTCATGGCTCCAAGCCTCTTCCAGCCAGCAGAGAGCCCGAAAGAATGTACTGTGTGGTCTTTCCCTGAGACACATGCATACACATGTCCCTGCGTGCACTAACCCAAGCTGCTTTCCTCCTCAAAGCTGATGGTGTCTCAGATATAGGTGTCCTCACAAAACATTTTACAATGAAACCCACTGACCACTTGGGGCTTCATATGTGCTTTCCTACACAGAAATGAATCAAGGTCACATTGCCACAGGGTTACAGTCACACCAGTCCTCCCAGTTCAGGCTGCCCACTTTGCCAGCAGTACCTAAATGCAGCACAAGCTCCTGGATGTTTGGCATGCAAATGGCATCTTTGACAAAACATGCCAGCATTAAGAGAAGAGGTAAATGTCATTTTAGCTCTTTCATTACACATTGCACATATCTTCACAGTGATCCTGAGAGGCAGCAGCTATCATAGCCACCGGCTCCAAGGGATTTAACCCAATCTGCAACACACATACAGACAGTAAGGTATTGCTGATGCTCTACTCAGTGTAACATATTAAGGAATAAGTAATGCTGCTGCTGTTCTTTGCCCTGCACTTGTGGCTTTTTTGTTTAGTGTTTTGGGGTTTTTAATTGGCAAAAAGAAGGAAAGACTTCTCTAAAGTCCTATAAGAAACACAGACCCATACTAAAGCCCTGCTTGCTGTGTATAAATTGGAGGGTTTC